ACGATGTTTTGGTCCAACTTGGATCATTTACAGTCACACTTACTAGTGTGACACTAGTGTGACTTTGTAAATGGTCCAAGTCAGAGTGAAACGTTGTCATTAGCTCCTCTCTTCTATGTGTGGGTTATTTGTGTACTGCATGCTTTTAGGCATTAAGGTATTGCCACCTGATTGGCTAATTAAATATTTGCAATAACAAGGTGTACAGGTGTACCTAATAAAGTGGCCACTGAGTGTCTGTACCCTAGACTAGACTATCATTCAGGAACAATTATGCATTAAAGCTTTCTTCTTAAAGTACTATATTCATAAAGGAAAGCATTAAACCTGTCAGGGACACACAGCACCTCGGCAGGATGAGGTAATCAGGTTTGATCTGAAGGGTGAAATTTGCTTAAATGTATTACAATTTTTACATTTCTGAGGAAGGGCTAAATTCATAGTGATCACACAGTTCCTGGGGTAACAGGCAGCAATCAGGTTCAATTCAAGTAAGAGGAGAGCAAGTCAAACTCCTCTGATCATAAGGCCCTCAACTGGCATTAAGGAACTTTCCTTGAGAGGTACTTATATATAGTACTGCAGATATAATTTCATTTAGGTAGGCACCTGCTTCACTCTGGAACTGTATTGCAATATAATATAGCTGCTATATATATAAAGTTGAGAAAGCCTAGGGAACAAATGGATTTGTTAGTTAAAAATAGGAGAGGAGAGTTATTAAATGGAGAGCTAGAGGTATCGGGAGGATGGAGGGAATATTTTGAGGAATTGTTAAATGTTGAAGAAGACAGGGAAGCTATGATTTTGTGTATAGGGCAAGGAAAGGAATAACATCTTATAGGGGTGAGGAAGAACCAGTTGTAAGTGTGGGGGAAGTGCGTGGGGCAGTGGGTAGAATGAAAGGGGGGTAAAGCAGCTGGCATTGATGGGATAAAGATAGAAATGTTAAAAGCAGGTGAGGATATAGTTTTGGAGCGGTTAGTGCATTTATTTAATAAATGTATGGAATAGGGTAAGGTACCTAGGGATTGGTAGAGAGCATGTATAGTTCCCTTGTATAAAGGGAAAGGGGACAAAGGAGAGTGTAAAAGTTATAGGGAAGAAGTTTGTTGAGTAGCAAGGGGCTAGTAACCCCTTCTCCTGTATACATTACTAAAGTTAAAAAGAGAAACTTTTTTCTTTTTGGGTCACCCTGCCTCAGTGGAATATGGCCAGTTTGTTGAAAGTAGTAGTAGTCTGTTGAGTATACGTGGTAAAGTGTATGGTAGAGTTATTATTGAAAGAATTAAGAGTAAGACGGAAAGCAGAATAGCAGATGAATAGGGAGGCTTCAGGAAGAGTATGGGGTGTGTAGACCAAGTGTTTGCAGTGAAACATATAGGTGAACAGTATTTAGGTAAGGCTAAAGAGGTTTTTGTGGCATTTATGGACTTGGAAAAGGTGTATGATAGGGTGGATAGGGGGGCAATGTATGGAATACGAGGTAGGTTACTGAAAGCAGTGGAGAGTCTTTACGAGGATAATGAGGCTCAGGTTAGAGTATGCAGGCGAGAAGATGATTATATTCCAGTAAAAGTAGGCCTTAGACAGGGATGTGTGATGTCACCATGGTTGTTCAATATATTTATAGATGGAGTTGTAAGAGAAGTGAACACTCGGGTGTTGGCAAGAAGTGTGGGGTTAAAAGATAAAGAATGTAACACAAACTGGGAGTTGTCACAGTTGCGCTTTGCTGATGGCACTGTGCTTTTGGGAGATTCTGAAGAGAAGTTGCAGGGGTTGGTTGATGAGTTTGGTAGCATATGTAAAAGAAGGAAATTAAAAGTGAATGTAGGAAGCAGTAAGGTGATGAGGATAACCAAAAATTTGATATCAAATTGGAGGGAGAGAGTATGGATGAGGCGAATGTATTCAGATATTTGGGAGTGGATGTGTCAGTAGATGGGTCTATGAAAGATGGGGTGAATCATAGAATCAATGAGGAGGAAAAAGGCGAGCAATGCACTGAGGAGTCTGTGGAGACAAAGAACTTTGTCCATGAAAGCTAGGAGGGGAATGTATGAGAGTATAGTTATACCAATGCTCTTGTATGGGTGTGAGGCATGGGTGGTGAATGTTGCAACAAGGAGAAGGCTGGAGGCAGTGGAGATGTCATGTCTGAGATTTATGTGTGGTGTGAATATAATGCAGAGAATCCATAGCTTGGAGATTAGGAGGAGGTGCAGGATTACCAAAACCATTATCCAGAGGGCTGAGGAGGGGTTATTGAGATGGTTTGAACATGTAGAGAGGATGTAACAAAATAGAATGAAGTTGAGTGTATAAATCTGTAGTGGAGGGAAGGTAGGGTAGGGGTCGGAGGCTGGAGAAAGGGAATAAAGAAGGTTTTGTGTGTGAGAGGCCTGGACTTCCAGCAAGCACGCATGAGCATGTTAGATAGGAGCAAATGGAGACAAATGGTTTTTAGGACTTGATGTGCTGTTGGAGTGTAAGCAAGGTAACATTTATGAAGGGATTCAGGAAACCGGCAGGCCAGACTTGATTCCTGAAGATGGGAAGTACAGTGCCAGCACTCTGAAGGAGAGGTATTAGTGTTGCAGTTTTATAATTGTAGTATAAGCATGCCTCTTGTAAGAGTGATGGAGTGAATGATGATGATGAAAGTTTTTCTTCTTTGGGCCATCATGCCTTGGTGGGAAATGGTCAGTGTTAATAAAAAATAAAATATATAAAATGGCTAAGCCACAACAGACTCCCTGGACCAGCAAGGGGCTTATAAACACATCTAGTTGGGGAGGAATAACTTCACATAAATACATTCTCAGCTAATAGAGCACGAGTATGAAGAAAGTTTTACTGTATTACAACTATTGTTAATCAGTCAATTCTGAACTGTAAGGCAGTCTTGCTTAGGTCTCAAAGGCCAGACCTAGGGTTCTAGCAGCCAATGTTGCAGTTACTAAGGATATTTACTGACTAAAATTCACCAATGTGAGCCCCAAGGAGGATGACTGCCTTTTTATGGGGGTTAACCTTCATATTATTTAATGAAAATTAATATTTCCAAAGTGTTTGTTGTGCCTCTCTGAAGGGACTCTATTGAATTTGATCAATGGGAAGCCAATTATGGCAGTTCCTGCTGACTCTGTAGGTAAAAAAGAAAAAAACCTTTACCCAAGAAAAGTACTGAAACTGTTAGGAAATAGCAGCTTTACAATAACAAAATGGCATGAACTTCTGACTAAATCTTTTATTATAAAATGATACATATGTTAAAATGTTCTCTTAGTGATTAAACCACTCACCATATACATTTACAATGATTCACAAAATTCTTTAAGTACTGTCAATATGAATTATACAAAAAAGGCAAATGGTATATTATGAGCATGAAGAGCAATTATTTTAATAGTATCCTTGTAAAAATTTAAAAATACTTGCAAGTGCAACAAACTACACTAGAGCAAAAGACTTTACACTCCAACCTTCTTCTTGGTGGTTCACAACAAGTGTAAACTACATATCATTACCCACTAATACAGTTTCACAATATTTTGTCAGTATGTATTTCTCTTTTTGCCCATATTTGCCTTACGGAACTCTCAAGAACACTAGTACCCTTAAAGCTGTGTGCATCATAATCCATTACTTAAACACTTCTTAACTTTTTCACATACAACACAGAAAAAATGGATCACATTACTTATGACAGGTACAATAATACCATAAGTTTGGATCAGAGATCAGTACCTATTTATCCTGGGAATCCAACATAAAACAAGGTTTTAGTGATGAGTGAATAGTAAAATCAAACAAAACTCTAAAGGAGATGCATAATTTAAGCTTATAATAAACATTGTCATATCCATTTTAATATGAGTACTCAATGCAACCAAAACAGCAAATTTTGTTTACAGAATGTTATAATGAGCAGTCACTTTACTGAATTGCTCAGAGTGATGCTTCCCTAGCCCCCTGAGATACTGTTGTATTGAAATTTACTTCCATTAAGTGCATCTAATGTATGCATATGTATGTATGTATGTGTGTGTGTGTGTGTGTGTGTGTGTGTGTGTGTGTGTGTGGTGTGTGTGTCTGTGTGTCTGTGCATGTGTGTCTGTGTGTGTGTGTCTGTGTGTGTGTGTGTCTGTGTGGTGTGTGTCTGTGTGTGTGTCTGTGTGTGTGTGTGTCTGTGTGTGTGTGTGTGTGTGTGGTGTGTGTGTGTGTGGTGTGTGTGTGTGTGTGTGTGTGTGTGTGTTGTGTCTGTGTGTGTGTGTGTGTTGTGTGTGTGTGTCTGTGTGTGTGTGTCTGTGTGTGTGTGTCTGTGTGTTGTGTGTGTTGTGTGGTTGTGTGTGTCTGTGTGTGTCTGTGTGTGTGTGTGTCTGTGTGTGTGTGTGGTGTGTGTGTCTGTGTGTGGTGTGTGTGTGTGTGTGTGTGTGTGTGTCTGCATGTGTGTGTGTCTGTGTGTCTGCATGTGTGTGTGTCTGTGTGTGTTAGTTACCATTTTGTCCTAGGCACATGTTGATTAGACACTAGGCCTGTTGTGTGTGTGTGTGTGTGTGTGTGTGTGTGTGTGTGTGTGTGTGTGTGTGTGTGTGTGTGTGTGTGTGTGTGTGTGTGTGTGTGTGTGTGTGTGTGTGCGTGTGTGTATGCGTGTGCGTGTGTGTGTTATGCGTGTGTGTATGCGTGGTGTGTGTATGCGTGTGTGTGTATGCGTGTGTGTGTGTATGCGTGTGTGTGTATGCGTGTGTGTGTGTGTGTGTGTGTGTGTGTGTGTGTGTGTGTGTGTGTGTGTGTGTGTGTGTGTGTGTGTGTATATGTGTGTAATTGTGTATTGTGTGATATGTGTGTATATGTGTGTATATGTGTGTGTGTGTGTGTGTGTGTGTTGTGTGTTCTGTGTGTGTGTGTGTCTGTGTATGTGTGTGTGTGTCTGTTGTATGTGTTGTGTGTTGTGTGTGTATGTGTGTGTGTGTATGTGTGTGTGTAGTGTGTGTATGGGTGTGTGTATGTGTATGTGTGTGTCTGTGTATGTGTGTGTCTGTGTATGTATGTGCATGTCTGTCTGAGTGTTTGTCTGTACTTGCCTGTTTGCATTTACAGGCAGGTATGCTCATGGCATCTGGTTTACTTATTTGTCATAATTACTTTTAAACTTTGAGTATGACATATGCAATTTCCACCTGGAGTTCATTTCACTCAACTTCAATACAGTTTTCTCTCTGTACAGAAATCCTATACTTTCCAATATTTTTACTTTTTTTTTTATAAAAAGTTAGGATTGTGTCCTATTGTCCTCCATTGTGTGTATGCATCTGTATACAGCACACGCATTTGGTTTTGTGAGTTTATGTGCCCATATATACATAATTTGTTACAATGACTCCCTTACCTATTACATTTTACACACACACTGTGTTCTCTGGTTGAATAAAGTCTCTTCTTACATCTCTACCTCACTGAAGTCTTAACTTTCCATTTGTGTTTACTCATTCCAGCCTTTAAAAATCGCTTGTCTAGTTTCACTAACTATACTGATGCTTCAAAGTTTCTTATACAGAATGTTAAGAGCCTCAGTTTCTGTAGCATCCTAAGATTTAAGACCACCTTGGTATATGTATGTGCATGTTTGTGTGTTTGTGAATGTATGTGCTAATGTAAGTACACATGCATACACACAGGTAATCATAAGAAATTAAACTAAATTTAATATAATTCTGAAAATTTTATAGTGAATAATCCAAAACTACAGTCTCCTTAATAATTTGATTTGACTAAAAATCTCTGTAATGCGCCAGCCTTTTCTGTTATCATATATTATACATACATGAGCCTAAATGAGTAAGGCTATTCAGTATATCACATCCTATTTCTATATGAATGTTTAATGTACATTCGAACAAATAAAAGTACTAAATTTATCAAATAAATCACACATAAAAGCACATTCACAAACAAAACTATGAGTGCTTGTAAACAGACTGACAGGCAAGCACACACAAACTTTCACATGCACAAATGCACAAACAAATTATATTAAATGCATCTAGGCATGTAAATTTCTCCAAGTCTCTCCTGTATTTGCAGAAAATGTAATCTGTTATACTGATAATGTAAGAGCAACATAATGAAATGGTTATGAAACAAATCTTAGTGAAAATATTATGCTTTTTATCTAGAAATTCATTGTTAAATTTCCATCACTTCCCTTCTGCTTTTTTTTTTTTTTTTTGGTAATGCAAATCTTGTTTTGTTTTGAAAAATCTTACACTTTAGAGATATTACACCAATACACTGTATCTTGATAAAAGTCTAGCAAATACTGTTAGATCAATTCATACTGTACTCTATGTAGATTTAGATCCTAATTAAGAAAAATTTAAATACACAAATAATAAGCATCAAACATAAATCAAAATACAGTAATTTTAATTTACATAAATTAGCTGGGAAAATTCTTACCCTGGTGTGTTGTTCACACTGCCATAACTATACATGTTTTGATCAGCTGCAACACCTTAAGAAAGCCTAATCTTACCAAAAACCATTCCAGTACTAAATGTTCACAAAGACATTAGCAAAACTAACACAATGGACTTTATATCTACATGTGAAAGCTTTGCATTTTCAACTTTAGCTGTGCCATTCCAGTCTCCAATCAGAGCTTTAATTTTCTCGAGTCTCTCAGACATATTGTAGTCCATTATCAAATCATATTCCTGTAAATTTTGTTTTATATTGACATGAAATCTGTCTGTTCTTAAGGGCTCCCCACTTTGCTAATAGAGAGACTGAACACCTAACCAAATTCTGAATTATCTAAATATTTCTGACACCCATTTTTAAAGCTGAAATTGTAAAGAAACTTATTGCCATTAGTTACTTAACCAATATTTGCAGATGCATAGGATTTCCTGCAAGAAAATGTGAATAGATCGGTTTTTGCAGAGGCACAGATGCTTTTCCCAGAGTGTCTGATGCAGAGTTCATCTCTCAAAGGTGTTTGTAAACAATATTATCTGCATATGTCGATTTCTTCCAAGAGACACTCCTTATACAGGATTAGTATGGTTGGCTTGAACTATAACTTCTTCAAGTGCTGAGAATAGGAAATAAAGACAGCGGACATTAGAGGCCTGAAAATATTCAACCACATTTTTATCTTAATTATTTTTTACCTTTTCTTTTACAATGCTTGTGCTGATAATAACCCCATAGTCAGTATTGCATAAAATTTTAATGTTATTCTTCAAGTGAATTATGCTCCTACAATTATTTGTAATAAAATTTATGTGAATATACTATACATAGTCTATAGAAAAATTAATATGAAAGTACAGTATATAATCTAAGAAGAAATTTATCTCAGCAAAAATATCTTGACAATTCTTGGAACAAAAGGTTTATTACACAAGACTAATTGTTCTTATATAGTGCATATGTTTAAAACAATATTCAGTGGAACCCCGGTTAAAGGCCATAATCCACTCCAGAAGGTTGACCTAAATCCAAAATGGCCTAAAACTGAATCAATATTTCCTGTAAGAAATAATGTGAAGACAATTAATCAGTTCCAGATACCCAAAAATATTAACAAAAAATACATTTTTTAAAGATTAACTATAGTTTACATACACAGAACAATAAGAAAGAAATACAATAATTTTAATAATAAATGAACATTACATACCTTTACTGAAGACTCTTGTTGGCATATGGAAGAAGGTGAGGAGGAGAGAGGGAGGACTGATTATTGTTTAGAAGGGAAATCCCCCTCCATAAGGACTTTAGGTATCAAAGCCCTCTCTGGGGTTACTTCCTTTCTTTGTCTTTTACTGGCACTAGGACCAGCATTGTCATTGAACATGTGGCAGACACTGCTTGCAACAGCTTTGGTAGGGTGATATTTCTCCACAAAACTTTGCACCTCACTCCATTTTGCACAAATGTTCTTAATCACTGAAGAAGGCACCTTATTACCTCTCTCTTCCTCCTCCTATGATGCAATTTCCTCATCTGCAATCTGTTGCTGTTCCAGTTGAAGGTCTGCAGCTCTTCAGTAGTTAGCTCTTCCCTGTGGTCATCCACCAACTCTTCCATATCTTGCCCATTCACATCCAACCCCATGGACTTCCCAAAGCCACAATAGATTCCACAACAAGAGTAAGGTTGTCAAGTGTATGTGGGGAAGCACCCTGGCTGGTGTGTGGGGAAGTACCCCAGCTGGTGTGTGGGGAAGTACCCTGGCTGGTGTGTGGAGAAGTACCCTGTCTGGTGTGTGGGGAAGTTCCCTCTCTGGCGTGTGGGGAAGTACCCTGGCTGGTGCGTGGGGGGAAGGACCCTGGCTGGTGTGTGTGGGGGGAAGGACCCTGGCTGGTGTGTGGGGGAAGGACCCTGGCTGGTGTGTGGGGGAAGTGCCCTGTCTGGTGTGTGGGGAAGTACCCTGTCTGGTGTGTGGAGAAGTACCCTGTCTGGTGTGTGGAGAAGTACCCTGTCTGGTGTGTGGAGAAGTACCCTGTCTGGTGTGTGGGGAAGTACCCTGGCTGGTGTGTTCTTTCTGGAATTCTATTGTGTTTCTTGCCTTCTTTACCAAAGGGCTGGCACTCTGAACTTTCTTTGGCCCCACGGTGGCTTATTTCACAGTTGCTATCAACAAAAAAAACACCAGAAACAATGGATGAAGCCACGAGTTTTGTACGGTTCTCAACACGAACAATTATGTAAGTGTATTATTGTAAGTGCTTTTGTAAGTGTATTTTTCGAGGTCTGAAATGAACTAATCTAATTTACATTATTCCTTACGGGAATAAATTTGTTTGGTAACGGCACTCGAACAGCCTTCTGGAACAAATTATGGCTGAACTCGGGGTACCACTGTACGTATTCCTAATCCAACGAGAGAGAGACGTGCAGACTGAGTGTGATATGCATGAGGAAGAGCGTCGCCGGTTGGTGGTGACGTGTCTCATACGGCCTATATTTGGAGCAAAATTTTGCCGATAAAAGTGTCAGCATAGTTGCTGATCCCCTTATATGTGTTGTATAGCATATCATAGTACCATCCATGTGTTTATATAGAAGATCCCTTTTAGGCCTGTGACTGTTTGTGTGACGTCACGGGATGTGCGTGTGTACGTTCGTACCTCTACCTCGGCCTCAGTCGGCGTGTAGACATAAGCAGGACAAGGCAGGCTGGGGGCTCCATCTCCCATTACCACAGTCTGACAATATATCGTTACCATCCAACAAGTGTGTCTACCTTCAACCCTCGTTATCTCCTTTTAAGAACCCCTACGACAAAAGTGCTCAATTTCTGGACTGAGTGATTTCCGCAACGGCTTATAACCGGGGTTCCACTGTAATCTTGTTATTTTTCCTTTAAAATCGTTAAACATATTGCACACTAGAGATGAGTAAATGTCACAAGTGAGGAAAAAGGAGGCAGGGTGAAAGAAATGAGTTAAGTCAGCCAACAATTCATGGAAATTTGCAAACTGAGTAGAAAGGTGGGCAATGTGTGAGAAGATGGAAGCTAGCCAACAATTTGTGGAAAGTTGCAAGTGCATAGAATGGTGTGCAGTACGTGAGGACATGCGGTAGTCCTTTCAACAATTCATGAAAAGTGGCAAGAGAGAGGATCAAGTGAAAGAATGAAAGACACTAATTACATGACAATTCTTGCAGAGTATTTTATGCAATGAATAAGAAATGGTTGTGACACTGCAACAGGTATCTTGCTAACATATGATGGAATGACTAAAGCTCAGAAGCAGCTCTATACAGTATATGTTTTGCCATTTTATCCTACATCAATCTGCCTGGATGGACTGGTCCAAACTCTATGGGGGTGGAGAAATAGGGTAGCCATAGATGATTATGAAGTGATTACGACAAGTAAAGGTATACAGAAGTAAAACAATATCAAGGTTTATCAAGCATATTAACCCTTAAACTGGTAGTGATATATATGAAGTACAGTGGAACCTCTTCTTATGAGTTTAATCTGTTCCATGACCTTGCTCACATTGGGATTTGCTAGTTTGCAGAGTCAATTTTCATCATATAAGAGTCAATTTTCATCATTGAAATGGAATTAATCTGTTCCTGTGGAATTCCTGTGGAATTTCAACTTCATGGCTTATTTATCTATCATAATTTATCTAATATGACATAATAAACAATATTAATAACGTAGAAACATGATATATACACTAGAATGAATGAAATATTACGTATGTGAGTAGTGTTAGTGGAGGTGGCACAACGGCCTTTGTTGTTGTTGTTGGGATATATAGGGCCACCACAGCAGCCATTCCTACATACCTTCCCATGATTTTATTATAACAGAAAATGGAGTGTTTGTAAGGCAAACTTCATTAGATCATTACATACATAGTTTCATAAGAAAAAACAATAATAATAAAGAAATTATGTAGCAATACAGCATTTACCTTGGCGATGGAGAAGAGATGCTGGGCACATTGGCTGGCGCATGCCAAATTATACGCACATAGTACGTACATATTATAATTATTATTTTAGTAGTATTATGTATTATTATTATACATATTATATTATACATATTTTTTTTTTTTCAACAAGTCAGCCATTTCCCACCGAGGCAGGGTGACCCAAAAAAGAAAGAAAATCCCCAAAAAAGAAAATACTTTCATCATCATTCAACACTTTCACCACACTCACACATTATCACTGCTTTTGCAGAGGTGTTCAGAATACAACAGTTTAGAAGCATATACGTATAAAGATACACAACATATCCCTCCAAACTGCCAATATCCCAAACCCCTCCTTTAAAGTGCAGGCATTGTACTTCCCATTTCCAGGACTCAAGTCCGACTATATGAAAATAACCGGTTTCCCTGAATCCCTTCACTAAATATTACCCTGCTCACACGCCAACAGATCGTCAGGTCCCAAGTATCATTCGTCTCCATTCACTCCTATCTAACATGATCATGCACGCTTGCTGGAAGTCCAAGCCCCTCGCCCACAAAACCTCCTTTACCCCCTTTTTCCAACCCTTTCGAGGACGACCCTTACCCCTCCTTCCTTCCCCTATAGATTTATATGCTTTCCATGTCATTCTACTTTGATCCATTCTCTCTAAATGACCAAACCACCTCAATAACCCCTCTTCTGCCCTCTGACTAATACTTTTATTAACTCCACACCTTCTCCTAATTTCCACACTCCGAATTTTCTGCATAATATTAACACCACACATTGCCCTTAGACAGGACATCTCCACTGCCTCCAACCGTCTCCTTGCTGCTGCATTTACCACCCAAGCTTCACATCCATATAAGAGTGTTGGTACTACTATACTTTCATACATTCCCTTCTTTGCCTCCATAGATAACGTTTTTTGACTCCACATATACCTCAACGCACCACTCACCTTTTTTCCCTCATCAATTCTATGATTAACCTCATCCTTCATAAATCCATCTGCCGACACGTCAACTCCCAAGTATCTGAAAACATTCACTTCTTCCATACTCCTCCTCCCCAATTTGATATTCAATTTTTCTTTATCTAAATAATTTGATACCCTCATCACCTTACTCTTTTCTATGTTCACTTTCAACTTTCTACCTTTACACACATTCTCAAACTCATCCAATAACCTTTGCAATTTTTCTTTAGAATCTCCCATAAGCACAGTATCATCAGCAAAAAGTAACTGTGTCAATTCCCATTCTGAATTTGATTCCCCATAATTTAATCCCACCCCTCTCCCGAACACCCTAGCATTTACTTCTTTTACAACCCCATCTATAAATATATTAAACAACCATGGTGACATTACACATCCCTGTCTAAGACCTACTTTTACTGGAAAGTAATCTCCCTCTCTTCTACACACCCTAACCTGAGCCTCACTATCCTCATAAAAGCTCTTTACAGCATTTAGTAACTTACCACCTATTCCATATACTTGCAACATCTGCCACATTGCTCCTCTATCCACTCTATCATATGTCTTTTCTAAATCCATAAATGCAATAAAAACTTCCCTACCTTTATCTAAATACTGTTCACATATATGCTTCAATGTAAACACTTGATCTACACATC